TTCGATTTTTCAAAAACAAAATTAAAATTAAAACCATAGTAAGCAATATTTTACCTTAAATTGTCAATAAAATGTATATTATATTTTAATAAACTTAACTCATTTTAAAATGCATACCTAAGTATCACTTTTTTTAAAATTGTTTCATCCATTATCCCAAACAAAATATTGTCCTACAATAATTTTATATTTATTATTTTAAATAAATAAATTATTAAATGTAATGAATACCATGTTTGCCTATTTTATATAACTTGTAAAATATTGTGTAATTTAAAAGAAAAATCAACGTTTATGTGATTCATTCAAAGGAATGTGTTTGAAAAAATTCAGTACTTTCAGTCCATTGTTGTTCATACAGCTTAAGCATTGCATTAATTATAGTAGCATATACAGTGGGGCAGAGGCGGAACTAAGAATTTTTACGCCCGGTGAAAATATTAAAATTAAGCCCAATCATGGACCAAGATTGAAAATACAATATCATTCCCTACAATTGTTTTATCATAACTGGAACTAAAATTACAAACATACTGATTAACTTTTAAACACATAATAATATATAATAATTAATATATTCTGTGGACTGTGGTGTAACCAAGTTTATACTAATAAACTATCACACCAAAAACACTTTAAATTTAAAAACTTAGTCAACATATTGTTGATACATTTTTAATTACTGGAAATACTGTATTTTTTACTTAAGTGTATTTATTATTAGAAATAATAATAATATTAGTTATACATATTATATAAATGTTGAAAAATAATCAAAACTTTAATTACCTACCTATCCTGTATAAAAATTGTAAACACTTTTGCTGTTTTGGTTCTATGCACCTCAGGCCTCAGCCTTCAATTATAATAGATTTTTATGGTAAAATATAAAATCTTTTATTCTGATTAGGGTACACAATTTAGGCCAGTAAAAAATTGTATTTAATTAAACAATTTATATAGAAAAAATGAAAAAGTAAATATTTAAAATCAAATCTTTTTTTTTAAACATAAACAAATGTATAACTATCTTGGTAAATATTATAATATATAATATTATAAACTATAATATATTAACATCATTCTTAATATACAGATATAATATGCGTATCGTACGTTGATTGATAATCCTATAACAGTTATTTTACTCAGCCTAGGTATAGTTAATAGTTACATTTTCACTCTTAAATAATCGAATCTTAATAATAAATTATAGTATATTAGTTGTATATGCTTGCAGTAGGTATGCTAATGCCAGTATACCAGTATATACTTAGTATACTAATACGAATCTATTCATAATCTTACTATTAACTTTATTTTTTTTTTTTCATTAATTCCAATGTCATCACTACAACATGATAAACAAATAATGTGAAATAAAAATGTTTTCTTAACTTCTATCACCAAGCATTAAATAAAGAACTAAAGAAAAATTACGCCCACTAAAATTTTACGCCCGGGGATCAATCCCCGGCTTCACCCCCCTAGTTCCGCCCCTGCAGTGGGGGTGTTCTAGGGTTATTATAACTCTGATTGTATATTTCTATGATACTTATAAATTGTAATAAATTATTATCGTGGTACTTTAAAAATATTTTAGTGTAAGGTGATACTACTATGATATTAAGTGCAATTTTCCTAATTATAAAATCAAAACTAAAGTTCAAAGTAATAAAGTAGGTAACATATTTAGTGGAGTACTACCGATATAATAGAGTCCCAAAAATAAAATAAAATCCATTCTAAGATAGGTATAAAAACAATTAATTACACATGAGCTGATAACATTATTGAATTATTGTTTCATCAGACATATTGTTGGTACTTACATAAGTAGGGGTTATTTTAATTAGAAAATGGTTATTACTAATTATTAAAATAAGTAAGCAAATGTACCTATCCAAAAAGTTAAGCCACGGAAATCTCAAATAAATGAAATAAATGTACCTACCTATAGGTAAGTAGTAGGTACCTATTTTATTTCGTCTATACGATTAGGTACCTAGGTACCAACTATGACTATTGGCTATTTTACCTAACACTAGTAAAGGCTGATAAAAAAGTTTTTGCACTATACTAATTAATTATGTAGGTATGCTATTATTGGTTTCAGTTATATTTTTAAAATTGGATTACTCATAAGAGCCTAATTCAATTTCCTAAAAAGAACTGACTTAACCTTAATATTATCAATTTTAAATCAACTATACCTATTGTTGTCATTCATTTGTGTAGTTTATTGTGGGTAATATTTAAGACAGATTTTTGCCCATTGTAAGAACCAATTTCCCACTGTCACCGGTATTCTCAGTAACTAATAAGTATTAGGTATATCATATATTATATACAATACATCCGTAAATATTATATATTATAATTTATAACTGAGCCTACATTTTTGAATGCCAAATGCTGGTCTGTAGTACAGATGCAGACTCTGTACCTACATCGCTCGCTGCCTGAGGACAAATAATAAATTATAATATCCCAATTTGTTTTCTTTTTTTCTCAACAATTACTAATAAATATTATTATTAGTAATACATAATCAGTATTCAGTACAATTAGTAATTTTTACTATATCAAACAAGGGTTTTATAATATTATAAAATATCAAATACAAATTGTAATATTTATTATTTATTACTTTATGGAATGAAATTAAATGTTTTTTTCTAGTATAGTATAATGTAGAAGCTGTTTTTATTGTGTATTGGACTAAAATAGTCAACACAATACGTAGGTACATAAATATGCTTAAAAATTTAGTCTTGAAGGAGTTTTGTATAGGCAATTTTACTTCAATTAAAAATTGTTGTTTTTCATATCAAATCGCAAATCTTTGAAAATTATATTAAAAAATGTTCTAGTTTTTAAAAACTATTTAAAGTATTGGCTTTCCAACATATGGAATAATTTTTGATCCATTCAAATTTCATTTCAAAATTTGATTTTGATTTTGAAAAATCGAACAAAAACCTAAATCCTTAAATATAAGTCCTTTAATAAAAATCCTATCCTTATGAACCGAACCCTTCAAGGATCGAAGCAGGAGCATCCCTAGATTATTCCCCAGTTAGTTTATTTAGTATTATTGACGAATGTTTAGTATTCAATATTTAACTATCGATACTGCTCATCACTAATAGATACTCATTTTGGTGCAAATTACAAGCTCCCTTTTTGTTGATTGGCTATAACTTTGTTAATTTTGTACTTAGAAAGTAGGTATAACTACCAAAATCCATTAAAAATGTATGCAAAAAAAAAATTTGTGGTTAAAATAGATATTGTATTTGCCTTTTAATAAAAATAAGTTGTACTGCGCATCCGCAAGTCTAATTAAGTTTACAAAATTCAAAGGCCATACAAAAGTGTATTTTTCTGTCATAACAACCAACTAGAAAGCAAAATTCAAATTGCAGGACTCTACGTCTCTACGCAATGATATTGAGTGTTCACAATGGGACCGATTACACACTTTATATATATGTAGGTATTAGCTATAATAGCTATATAATTAAGATATATTATTACAATATACAATATATAGTTAATTATTATGTTGTATTTTGTCACGCAAGTACCTAATTTGGACATTTTAGTACTGAAGTAACTTTGACAGAGTCATTGTCTTACTATATTATATAATTATATATAAATAATTAAAATATTTTCAATATTCAAGTCTATCTTTTTTTACATTAGCACATTGACTAATGTTTCTCATCTTTCAGCAAACTCACTTACCTATTACCAACCTATTATAAATTTTAACAGATAGCCGCTATGAAGTAATAATAAAATTAGTATAATTAAAAATGTTATGGTATAACTATTGTCTAGTGCAACAACTCACAGTTTAGTTAACTAACACTGTATAGTTCTTACTTAGGGGCTAAGGCAGAGGGAAATACATAAAATGTCCTTTATTGAATATCCCCCAATTGAAAGTAATTTCTCTATACCCGCATAAAAGTATGTACAGAATTGTATGTGCAAAACAGCCATTGGAAAATAATTTATCCTAATAATTTATCTTACTATATTTAGCCTATAATAATACCTGATGTTATCCTGGAAATGTCATCCATTTAAAAAATATGGATCTCTCATATGTGTGTCAAAATTTTTATGGTAATTAGGTATGTTATTATTATTTCTGTTAACATTTTTAGGGTTAACTGTCTATTGTGGGTTTACGGCTTACCGGTATCTTGTACTGACCATTATCAACATTTATATTTCATGTTCATTGTACCATTTGTACTCGAGTAAATCACGTGTGGATCCGATTGATAGTGAGTTTAAAATTACCAACAAATTATACAGTTTAATAAAATTATTTTTTTTTATTTATAATATCACCATATTCTTAAAAAAGATGTATAGTTGCTGTTGCATATTGGACAACGTTGTGGATCTAACTCAGATAAACAATCAGCACATAAAACCTTATGACCACATGGTATTAGTGCATGGGTTCTAAGGCCATCCCTACAAACAACACAAATGTCTTCATCATCTCTCTGAGAACGATTAGAATTTAAAGAAACTGGAAAGTATGGCACTTCATCTACTTCTTGGCCTCTTAAGTTTTCCTCCCAGATGGCAAATTCAGCATCTTCAGGAATATAAAAGTCGGCTTCGTTGTATTCATTAATTTCCAGCACTTCTGGGTCTAATAATTATTATGATAATAAGATAGGTAGTAATAAATGAAATATACATTGTGCAAATTATAATAAAGATTCATATTATTCAGCAGTTATTGAATAGTACATACCCTCTAGATCGATAGCTTCATCATGATTCAATGCAATTGCTTCTGCATCTACAGCTATGGCTATGGGCATATTTAAGATCATTGGTTCAATTTCTTCTTCAGATTCAATTTTAGCCCAATACAAAAGGAAAACCATTAGTTTATCAGGTAGGACAGTAGGTAGGTAGTAATATATCAATAATAATTTGTGGAAATTAAAAAAGGAATCATATTATTTAGCAGTTATTGCATTGTACATACCCTCTAGATCGACAACTTCGTCATGATTTAATGCAATTGCTTCTGCATCTACAGCTATGGCTATGGGCATATTTAAGATCATTGGTTCAACTTCTTCTTCAGATTCTATTTTAGCACAATATAAAAGGAAAAACAATATTTTATAAACGTAAGTACCCTTTTTGGTATGTTTTGTATGTAAATAGATTTATCTCAACCAATGTATTTGTACATTTAAAACAATAATTGTATATACTACATATATATACCTTCAATTTCTTCGTGCCAATGTAACTCTCTTGTTAAATATCTATCAGTACTATATGAAGTACGAATAAGAAACTCTTTAATGGTTATTGCTCCCGTATTCAATAAGGCAGTTGAATTTTTTATGCGTTGTGAATTTAAAATGTATTTAAATTTCAAATTTCTTGTTGTGGGCAATCCTTGCGATAACTGATCTACGACCACATGCATTTTTTTGCTGGTATTGTTGAGATTTTCTTAAATAAAAATTTACTGATTAATCATCAATATACATAATATATAACTTAAAAAAATTAAAGTTTAAGAAAGTACTATGTTCACAAAACATGTTTGTAATTTTTTAATTTATATTTTATATTATTTTATTGTATTGTTCTTTTTAGATTTAAGAACATTGATTTGTATTAAATATTAACAGCAATTATTCTTATTTCTATTTATTTTATTGTTTGGCATTCATATATTTTCATAATATATTATTAAAGCTATTCAACAAATTTTGATTTATAAATTTAATGAAACTAAGTATTTAAAAGCAATTTTTTTCTACATTCCACATACTTTTTAAGATTTAAACAGATATGTAGGTATTTCAGGTTTTTGGTTTGATATTAGGCAACGTACAAAATTAATATTTCATGACCTTGTTTAACTTGAGCAACAATATAAAAAATTGTTTTTTATTTTAAATAGTATTTAATATTTCACAGATTTTAATAAGGATTTGTGGATCATTCTTTCTGATAGATTAAACTGGTTGATCGATGACTTAGTCAAAAATATTGAATTTGTTTCTATGAAATTTTAAATCATACTTAATAAAATATTATCTATAACATTTTTTTAGACTGAAATAATCCCTGAAATATCTCACCCAACATTGTCCATAAATTAGGATGCATGACCTGGAAACTTTGTTTCATTGTTGAATGAAAGCGTTCTACGTTGTTATTCGTCCGACGTGGTTGGTTGTGCACAGAAAAGCTTTCTGGGCCTTTTCTTAAAAGCCAAAAACTAAATGCAACAAAAACAGTATTTAGAATATTATACTTAAATAAAATGAATTATGATTTTACAAACACAATACTTTACCTTGAAAAGTAAGTAAAAAATCTTGGCAATATTACTTCATGAGTTTGCGCATAGGTTTTGACTTCCTGAAATCCCTGCTCAATTTGATAAGCCGATAATAAAGGTAACACCGAACACATTCGTAAGCACATTTTTGCCTCACGGTTTTCTTTGATGTACCCTGAGTAGCCCATTTTTTTAATGTTTTTCTGTAAAGTCTAAATGTTAAAAGTTTATTAATTGTTATTTGAAGCTGAAAACATAATTTAGTAAAATATAAATTAATATTTAATGGATTTTAAATAACAAACCTGTACAAAATGGAACCAACACGAAGAAATCTGAGCTTCAGGATAAACATAAAGAAAAACATTGCGGAGGGCTGATTCAAAATCGATCATAATCATTAATGGCTTTACTTCGGGAAATTTAATTTTAAATCTTTCCATCACCTTCCTATATGAAGCCTCGGTTTTCGCTTCCATAAGCACATAACATATAGGTATGGACTAAAAAATACATTCAATTCTAATATGTTTTTTTAAGTTTAATACTTAAAAGTAATTATATATTTAGCTTACGTGGTTTTGCAAAATCAAATGAATTATGAAAAGTTGTCGACAATAAGGTGTGGATGGTACTACCTTGAACGTGGCATCTGCATGCAGTTCTGTGGCTCCTTGACGAACCACAGCACTAATCAACTCCTGACATGCATATATAACACTGTATTTGCCAGCATTGTCGACAACCCACTCCTGATAAAACTGAGCGTTATTACACTGATACCTGTAAACAGTAGGCAATAGTAGTTACATCATACATCAAAAAAAGTTTCTATTTTAACTGAATTTCCGTTTATTGTACTTTTCAGCATTTTGATCGAAATATTCGCTTAATTCCCGCAGCGTTGACGGCAATGGCGGGAGGGATTGCCTCCTTGCATGGCGCATAGAAGATTCGGCAGTTGGCCAACTATAGAGAAGGGCTGCATGTGGATTTCTGTGAAATTTAATTAAATATATAATATTATAATGTTAAAGTTATCAATAGGTAAAATAACAATGGATATAATAAATAAAAAATAAAAATGTTTAACAAATTTCAATTATTATTAAATTTCTAATTGAATAGAATAATATGTGTAGTAAAATACAACCAGTTTAAAATGATTGTAAGCAATTACAGTTCCATAATTAAAATAGTTGTGTATAAGTTAAAAATACTTGTTACACTGTTTCATCTTATATTATATTAAATTTTTCAAGCAATAATAATTTTAATAGGAATTTTTCTTTTTCATATTGTAGAGAAAATAAATTTTGTTTGTTGTTAATTTGTTAAGTTATTGATTTATGCAACAAAAATTACAGAATGTTATAACTGCATTTTAAATTCCTGATGTTTTTAAAAATTATTATTTTAGTACCTAACAAATAAACAATATTGTTCTTTAGCAATAAAGTAATATGCACACATGTTAAAATACCTAATTTAATTAACTATGTTTTTTATCTTTTTAAAACCAGATTTCTGTTTATTTTGAAATATGACTTTAAAACAAGCTGAACATTTTTCAGTTGAATATAATTCTATGTAGTTTCTCTAATAATGAAAAAAATAAAAAAATACTTTTCTGGGGAAATTAATTGATGTAATTATTCTTATTAATATGATTACCTAATTGATTCTTCATCATATATTGATCTCAGTCCTAACGTCTCGGTTTTGGATCTTTCGATTAATGTACCTCGAAAAACATTCTTAGCCTCCTGCTGGTTAAACATTTCACCATATGGTCCATGTGTGTGAGGTTTATTATGTTTTATGGTACCATTTTCTAGTTGTACTGCCGTACCTTTACAATAGACGTTTGGTGTCGCACATATGTAATAACTGCAATAAGTAGGTAGGTAGGTAAGCTATTCCAGTGTTTAATAATATATTATGTCTTTTTTTAATGATTATAGTATGTGAAAAAATGAACTGAAATAAAGTTACTTACCGTTTACCACCACGTGTTTTATTAACTTTGTAATGGAATCCTTCGTCATCCATTTTTTAAAATTACAAAAGCCGAACAATTTAATAAAATTAAATAAAAAACAATCCACTGTACAAATATAATACTTGATGTATTATTCACTTAATTTATCGGCAAATTAACCAAATGAATAAAGAATAATCGAATGTACCGAGTATCAAGTGAAAATTGATGTAATGATTGTAATGACAAATTAACAAAATGAGGTACCCATACAAGATGAAAAAAAAACCTTAAAATTATTATGGTACTAAAAATAACATTAGATTTCTAGTTGGGAATGGTACACAAACCAACCCCGCGTAAAAAAGGATCTAACATCACGTTGGTATACGGGCTATTTATGTACGAGAGATTCGAGAGCAAAATTCAGCGACCAATCAGAAAGTGAGGATTAATATCATATTATCATATAAATATTAAGAAACATTATATTACCCGCGCATTTTTAAATATAAATATTTAAAAACAAAGTAAATAAGAACAAGTAAGGATTATTATCATATTTTCATATAATTACAGCAGGTATAAATTATGAAGATGGTATTATAGTGTTAGTGACAGACTTTAGATACCTAGCTATACAAATGTATTTAATATGTTTTTAAGGAAGGTAAGGAGTTACATAAGACAAGTACATAGGTGCCTATGACATTTGTTTAAGCTAAAGCTCTTGCTACCAATAAAATATTTGTAAAAGTAATTTACGTTCAAAACATTTTCCTCGCTTGACAATTTGAAAAGAATGCATTCAACCAATGGAAATACTACTTTATAAACACCTAGGTACCATTTGTGTAAGTATTACATATCTTAAGACCTTATCATAGGATCACAGTGAGTATATTACATTGGTTTAAAACTATGAGAATTATATTTTTAATACAGTCCATGAAACTCACAATACTATAAACAATATTGTATATACTGTCCAGCAAGAGAACGCACGGCGCACCGACAAAAACTGGTTCCTTCACACAACACTCTTCCATGATAGGACTATAGAAGAATCAGTTTTGGTAGCAGGGTGACAAGGGGGGTGTACAAATTATAGATGATTTATAGATACCCAAAACATCTATTAGATATGACTTTATATTTCTATTAGATATCCAATTGATATTGTAATAATATGTAATGGATATCCATAAGATATTCGCTGAAATTAAAATATTTATTAGATTATTGTGTTATAATTATTAGAATACAAATTGGAAAATTGTGTTCATATATTAAACCAAAATCTTTATTTGATAATCAATAAAATTATAGTAAAAAATGCAGATTATATAATATAAATACAGGTTATAGGTATAATCAGATTCATATCATAATCTTAACAATTAGAAAACGCTTGCCAAGTCAGAGATTGACATGTAAACTTTCTTGATTTTTAACTATGATAGAAATGTATTGAGTGTATGTAATATATTGTATGTATTTTATTACAACATGATTAAATTAATTCATTGAGAGGATATTAGATTATAGTAGGTTTAATATGACTGGTTTGCATTTAAAAGGTATTAAAGTAATTTTAATTGTGCAAAAATTAACATAAAACTATTTCAGAGTACAGAATTTAGTAAAGATTAGCATTAATTGCAATGTGAAATGAGCCAATAAAATAAAATAAAATATTTATATATTTGTATTCCTAATTGTGTATATCCCAATAAAGCTACTTCTATATGAGCTATCAACCAATATTTAAGAAATATGTTTTATGATGTTTTTCAAGTGTAAAGCTTTGTAGTGAATTAACAATTGAAAATAAAGTTCTGAAAATCTAAGACTGCACTAAATAGCCAATATGAATTTAATAAGACCCCAAACAACAACATTTCGGAGATCTAAATTGCTCAATGAAAATCAAGTAAACTTTTTTATACTTACATGATAATTCCTTTTTAATGAGCTATCAACCAACTTTTTAGCTGCACTAAATAGCCAATATGAATTTAATAAGACCCCAAACAACAACATTTCGGAGATCTAAATTGCTCAATGAAAATCAAGTAAACTTTTTTATACTTACTTGATAATTCCTTTTTAATGAGCTATCAACCAACTTTTTAGCTATCATAATTTTGGAGAAAAATTAATAAATAGAAATTTTGGGACTGTTCACGCCAACGTTTTTGTGGATTCAAATAATTTGAATAATTATTATTACACTACTTGAGTGTGATATAGGATCACTCTCATATTAAAACTAGCTTAATTACTCATTTACTCATTACTACTGAGTTACATTTTTATCAGTTTCCTACTTAACACAAATTCTTGAAGTTTTAAAAATTTAGACTTTTTTCATTTCAATTACTTTACTTACTTGATTAAAAATCAAGAAAGTAAAATAATATAATAGTAATATGCAATAAAATGCAGTAAAATACAATTTTATTTTAAAATATGTATATTTATATATTAATCTGTATATAATTTTATAAATTTTTTATTTCTATTATCTAAATTGATGATTTATAACCGTTTACATTCTATAACAGACATTACAAATACATATCTTGAGTACCTATTTAACAATCTGTTGATTTCAGAAATTACAAGGTATTTTATAGGGTTAAAGTGGGAAAAAATTCCAGAGGGGACTAATGTCTCCACATAGTTATAAGCGTTCCATATATAATTTTATGTATAATGCCTAATGAATAAAATCCTAATTTGTTAAAGGTTTTTAGAGGTAGGGGGACTTTAACCTCGGTAGATAAGTGCTATTACATTTGTTTAGGCTGAAGTGCTTGATACTAATAAAATATTTGTAAAAGTAAGTTATGTTCAAAATACTTTCCTCGCTTGACAATTTGGAGATAATGCATACAATGAGAATACTACTTTTTAAACACTTACTCATTTGTGTAAGTATTACATATCTTAAGACCTTATTATAGGACCATAGTGAGTATGTTATATTGGTTTAAACCTATGAGAATTATATTTTTAATACCGTCCATGAAACTCACAGTATATTAAACAATATTATATAGGTAGGTATGCATTTTCAACAACATACAGGTGTATTGATATTGGTATATTTCAATACATTTCATTTAAATTCTGTATCTAAGTCCAATTTATAGTATGTGTGTATAATTAATTACCTATGCCAATAATTATATTTATATTTACCAGACAATTATATTTGTATGTATTTTATACTGTCGCGAATAATGTAATGAGTTATATACCATGTATTTAGTATCTATCTAAATCTAGCAGGGGGCCAGGGTGGACAAGTACTCCCCAACATTTTATTTTGCCCCTCCTTTGCCCCCCTTTAATTTAATGTTGAACATTATAATCTAATCTGAAAATGCATTTTATATAGAGCATTTTATTAAATACTAAATACTAATAATTTGTAATTATTTATATTCCATTTAATACTAATAAGTAGGTAATAACTAATAGCTTGTTGATATTTAGATCTAATCATAATCTTTATATTTAAAAATGAATTGCTGTTCGTTTGTCTCGCTAAAACTCGAAAACGGCTGGACCGATTTGGCTCAAATTTTAAGGAAAATCAACCGGAAAAGTAGGAAGTCTGGATGAAAAAAATACAACATGGTGCAACAGTGTATTATAATTTATATTGGTTGCTATTGGTTAATCGGGCATGTTTGTTGATTTGTATTATTGTTTTTTGTCAATATATATAAATAAATTAATGTTTGTGTGTAGATTAGACCTCCGGGAAGAAGACAGGCTAATTTAAAAATGGTTAAATTTGGTTTTTTTTTATTCATCTGATATTAGTACGGTTAAGATTTTGTATTAACTAATTATATTAATCCACCATAAGTGGAATACAACAAACTTGGTATAACTTTGATAGTTAAGTTAAATCATACACTTACGTACAAACATCAAGGGGTTCGCGATCTACCGCAGGTAGATTGCCTACCTGATAATATACTGAATAATAATAATAATATTCAGAATTATTATTATTATTCCGTACAACGGAATAGTTAAGATATATTTTGAACACCATACACTGAATATTAAATAACGAATTGAACAAAGTTAGAGTCATATAGATTTGGTACATTTTAACGGGTAACAAAGTACACGGGATCAGCTAGTAATTAAATAAAATAAATAATGCAAATATAATACATTGTATTTATTGATTTTTATTTTAATAGGTAATAACAAAATGTTGCTATTTAGATACTTAAAAATCCCTCTCTGTATTTGTTTAATTGCAATGAACATAAAATATGAATGTGCATATAACAGATTAGTACCTATCATAAGTCAGATAACCTTATTACAAGTTAATATGAAAGGTAGTATAAGTATTTAGGTTATACCTTATACCCTCTTAGGATTCCATTATGTTAAAAATATGTAAATATTTGTAAATATTTTTAGCTATACCTTCTGAATATATGATATAAACAAATTGCTGGGTGTTCAAGTACCTAGCAATATATAAATTTCCCAGCAGAAAAAAATTTGCCCCCGTAACGCCTCCCCCCCAATTAATAATATCTGGCGCCGCCACTGAAATCTAGAATACTCAAACATGCATTGTAAAATTCTGATTTACAATAGTTTGTAATTTGTTTATAATTGTATGCATTTAGTTTATTGTCGATCAGCTAAAATTGTAATCACTAAATTTATTTATTTCAATTACCTACTAACTTTTGAGATTTTAAAAAAGTATAAAAATAAAATTATTTGACATTTAATAAAAAATATTGTATTAATCTGTGTTGAAACAAAAATGAATTAGGCCCCACATAACACAGGTACAACTAATGGATGTACCTACAATAGATGATTTATCTAATAGGTACCTACCTACATCTATTAGATGTGACTTTAAATATAGTAGAAAGCCAATTGGTATTGTAATGGATATCAATAAGATATTAACTGTAATTATTATATTTATTAGATTATTATGTTATTGTTATTAGAATACAAATTGGAAAATTATGTGTATTAAACCAAATCTTTATTTGATAAGCAATAAAAT